AATTACCCACAGCTCCCTAAGTTATCTGATATGCAAATGAGGCTGCATTAAGGGCTGGAAAAATACAAAACCATCTAACTCAAGCCAGCTTGTTCTTCACTTTCAAGCTAATACCTTTCCATAGGCTACTGCTAGGAATTATTTCCCTTCATTACTCATAGATGGATCGTTTGCCTGACGGTACCAAAAGTGGGGGAAAAAGTCTCTCAGGCAGATTGTTCTTATCACCCTGGAGTAGTGCCATAAAACAAAAGAAATCTTGACTACAGGGAAGGCTTAACACACAAAAAAACAGAGAAATATAAACTTCAAAGTAATCTTTAAAGCATAGGTGGTAAGTACAATTTCCCTGCTTTAACCTATGAAGGTCTGACAGTTTAGCGTTAGAGGCAAAGACCTCTGTAATAAATTCTTGATTATTCTTCAGTCCCCAAATCCATGCTCCTGTAGTACACTTCTACAGGTTTTGGAAATGAGTAGATGGTCAGTAAGATTTCTGTGCGTATGGCTAGCACACATTTAAAAATTCCGAGATTTCTGCCCTCATCCAGTATACTGAGCACATTTCAGATCAAGTAGCCTCCATACCCATCATTAGAACCATACAAATCCTTGGGCTCAAAAATAAAACATCTTTCAGGATGACATGTCTAACAGTGGTCTAGACGTCCTCAATTTTAACTAATATTGAGACAGAAAGAGACTAAAAGAAGTTAATTGTGGCTTTCAGCAATAATAGCATGATCTTGGCATGAAAAGAGATGAATACAGCTATAATTTTCCTCCATCAAATGTTTGTTAATATTTTAGTGATCTTACCAAATTGTGTACAACTAAATCAATATTTTAACAACAAGAAAATTAATCAAATTAAGGAGGATCTTTATGTTCAATTAAACAAGTTGGTCTAAGAACAAAGAAATGCCTCTTGTTCCTGAGAAGCCATTTCTAAAGACCTTAGCCCAACCAGAAAAAAAAAAAAAAGAAATTCTAAGCATGAACTGGAATTCCAGATTTAGTAACACTGATTACAGGAGAGATGAATAAACTATGCTTTTTTTTAATACAAGAGCCCAATTGAATAGAATTTTATTATTGAAACCAGTTGCTGAGAATTTAAGAAACTGATTGCTTACATAACTCCTCTCTCTCTTGACTATTTCTGGAGAAAGCTGGAATCTAATACATCTACGAATAAGAAATATAGTAACTAAATTGTGCAACATCACTCAATTTTATGGTGGGATTTACCATGCGTGGAAAGAACTAACTGATTTGTTGGGTGGTTAGGAGATGGATACAAAAAGGTATGCACTGCTAAACCACAAATCTTAAGAAAAAAAAAATTGTTTCAATTAGTTCTTTTGCTCAGATGAAATGAAAATAAAAAGCAGATGTAAAAACTGCAACCACATGATATTATTCACATTACAGAAATAGCACTAATACGTAGTATGCCATTCTTTCTTTGGATGTGACCACATCCTTTGTATTACACGAAGGAAATCAGATGCGTGAAAGCCTTTGAATCATTGCCACCAGGTGAAGCGCCAGGCCTATTTGAGAGCGTCAGAACCTGTAAGCTGGTAAGGAGAAGCAGATTGCTTCTCTGCCCTCTTCACGACAACCAGCACTGCCTGAACCTCTGAGCCACGTTTCTAGAGTCCCTCCGACTAGTCTGACTTGGCCACATTCATCATCTTAAGTTTTTGTGCTTGCCGATTTAGCACCTTGTAGTGACCAAAGACAGAGACGTCAGAAAGTCTGTGTGTTTCAACTTGTTCAGGCAACTGTTTCCTTGATGAAAGAAAGAAATGGGAGAGAGAGGGAGAGGGAGAGAGAGCGAGATGGGTCTTCAAAGGCGTTTTTTACTACGACTTCATGAGAAAGCCTTTCCTTTCCCTGTGCTCCATACCATACCTTTCTCTACTTTCCTGGGCCGGTCCCGAGCTCAGCGCCCTCCTGTGGTGGTTCTTATAGCACAGCCGCTCCTCAACCTGCGCCACGTTTCCATCGTGTCCTGTGTCCTACAGGCTCCTTGAGGCCAGAGACAAGCCTCACCCCAGCCTGTATACTCCACATGAGCCACCACAGCATCTCCTATGATAGAAGGAGCCCTTCAAAAATGTACTGGCGGCCTGTGCAGGGGCTGGACAAGTAACATGAACGCATGGACAGAGCCTCCGGGCCCGCCAGGCCAGGTGGAGCAGTGGACACCGCAGCCAACCAGAGTCCACGCCCCACAGGAAGACCGGCTGCCCCTCAGCTCCGCCCAGCAGCTGTCTGCCAAGGATTCAGGTCTAACGTTACCACGTTTGCTCATTTTTCAAGAGGGAAACTAGAAATTTGTATTTTAATTTTTAAATGTTGGCTTGAAAAATGTTTAATCCCTTTGGGGGCTAAAAGAAACCCATTCTGGGAGATTAATTTGCCCCACAGGCCATCACTTTGCAGCCTCGTGATGTCTACGGCAGAACTCCTGCCCCTTCACTAGTCCTCCTCCTCTGTCCCTCACGGACGGAAAAGGACTTTCTGGATATTCCTCCACTGTGCTCTCTCCCTCTGCTCTGAACCATCGCAGCACTTAACTTGCAGCCTTCTGCACTTAGCTACACTTAGCTCTGCTGTCTTGTACCACGGTTATCCAGTATACTCAATACCTTCCACGAGGAAATAAGTTCCTACATCACTCATTATTTATTATTATTATTATTATATCATCATTGGTTGAGTTCTATGTCAGCCACTGTGCTAAGTCCTTTATGTATATTAACTCAGCTATTCTTTATAAGAATCCCAAAGAGTATATTCCTATTTTATAAATGAGGAAATTGAGGTTTAGAGAGCTTCTAATCACCATCTGAGGCCACAGAACTAGCACACAATAGAGCCCAAACTTGAAGTGAGGTTTTTTTCACTAAAAAGTATTATGTTTGCCTGATTCATCTTGAAGTTCTCTGCAATTTCTTACATCCAGGGAGTACTCGATTAATAATTGTTGAATTGATTGTTTAAAAACAGAAATTTATATTCCACTTGAAAGACATTCTTTCTTAAGAAGCATAGAGAAAAACTACTCCTGATTTAATGGTTTGTGGAAGAGTTAAAAATAAAAATCAAGGGAATATGCACTATGAATATTTGCGGTTCAGCAATAGATTGGAGTCCATTCATCAACTAAATAGATACACAAGGTTTATCCAAGATACAGTGTATTTATTCAAAAAGTATTCCAATCCAAAAATAATATGCATAAAAAAATTGCCATGGTAGCATTTCTCCTTTGAAAATTCAATGTGCAATGCTGGTTTTAGTTAGAAATAAGGAAATTCCAAGAGGAAATTGAACAAAGACTCAAAAGATATTCTTTTTTGCATGCAACAAGCATCAATGATTTCTTTTCAACAACTATGATAGTACATTTCTGTTTCTGCATCCAAAGGGAGTCCCAAAATGCAGTTTTCCTCTTTTCTTCCTAAATATACGTTGTTTGACATAAAAATACATAATCTGAGTATCTGAACAAAGTAACGAGCTGATTGTCCTTCTCATCATTTTTTAAATATCTTATCTGAACCATAAATACGGACTCTGAAAATGCTATTTAGATGATGATGATACAATCTGACCATATCCATGCTTTATTTGATGTCCTGATGTCTAAACAAATCTCTAAATGCTCAGTTTCTTTCAAGAATAATATTTGACAGCCATGAAAAAGACATGTCCTAGCTTTAAGATCATTTGTTCATCTTTGAGATTCCAGCTACCCTTGAAATCTAACATTAAAAAAATCAGCTGAAACATAAAAAGAACAAAGAATATCTCTGAATAATTTCATTACCCCATCTAGGATTTCTCTTTTCAAGAAATGAAACCCAGTAACATAAACAAACTAGCCTAATTCGTGTTGACATCTTGGGGGGTACATTTAAGTGGGGACAAAGATTCCAGTTCTCTCTGTTTTCCAAGAACTCTGATCCCAATGCAGGATTTGAATTAATGGCAGGAACAGAGTCACCACTACTGCTGTCTTCGGAGGTCAGGAGCAGCTGTGTCTGTCTCTTAGAAACATCACTGAAGGAAGCCAAGAGGGCTCCCAAAAAGCTTGGACAGAGAGTTACCGCACTTTCTTTGGAACATTGTGATACTGTTCCTTTACCCTAAGATAGTTCCAAATGGCTTGAAGCCACATCCCTAACCTTTATCTGATAGCTTAGAGAAAGAACTCACTATAAATCAGAAGTATTACCTATAGGTTACTGAGATTTAAATCTTCTGATGGACCAAGAAAATCTCAGCCATCGACAATTATACAGAAAATGATATGACAAAACTTTTACAAAGCTGGTAGGGGGTTAGCAGAATGATAGAAGCTCAGATGTTTTCTCTGTAGTCTACCACCCAACCCCAAACTAGATCTCATGAAGTACTGAAATAGAAAAGCCGAGAGCTGGCCCTACCCTCTACCAGTTTCATAAAAGGACATTTGAGGAAACTACTGAGAGAAAAAACACATTCATTTGAAAACTCTCACAGGAAAGACGTCATCGACATAATGAGTTTCACTGCTTGATGTTCAATTAAAGGAGCTAGAAGAATACGGCAGAGTAAGGGACAAGTGGCTGCCATCGTGAACACCTAGTACCAGAGGAACAAAGAAAAATAAGGTTCTCAAAGGACTCATGAGGGCTACATCAATTTCTTCTCTCTTCTCTACTAATCATGACCAAGAATCAGCTTAAATTACAGAGATACAATAATATTAAAATAAATATTTCCTCAGTGACCCCATCCCAGAAAATTACAAAATGAAATAAAAATATCTAGAAAGTGGAGGTAACCAAAGGGAAGTATACGCTGTATATGCAGTATTTAATGAACTAAATCACTGCAGTCCTAATCAGGTAAAAAGGAATTGGTTAACACACAGATTGTGAGGTTGTGTGACTAACTTAAACATAAATCTGAACAGTTTTGTGCTCTTGAATTAAATATACCTGATCAATCTGATTTTTGAGTCCTGGAGAAAAGCTGGAAATTGCTGGGGAGGCTTCAGAGAGCTCTTGGAGTTTTGAATTGATTTCAGCAAGCTGCTGGTGCTGGGCAGCTGCAAGTGTGTATCCTTCTCCTGGGACCAGCCATTGAGATGGATCACCCTAAGAGGAAACAGAAGTCACCAAGTTACCAAGTCCATGCTGTATTTTTGCCAAAATAAAAAACTTCCACACAGCTGCATTAGTGCTGGAGACTTCACAAAAACAAACAAACAAATAAATAACAGAGTTAACACTGGGGTCATGAAAGAAAAAAATAAAATAGTTTATGGTGTTTCATCTGCTAACCCTGGATGTAGAGTATCTTCTTAGATTTTTGCAGACTTTTCCACCTCTAGAATAAATCTCTTTGTCTGACAGTCTGGTTCTCCAAACATTCTCTATTTGCTACTTTCTAAAACAATTTTATGATATGTCAAATAGGAAGAAATCACACTTACTCCATTATGGAACATGGTATTTTCAAACTTTGTCCCTTAAAAGTAACATAGGGTCTCTAAATTCACTTGTTTGGCTGCTTGGGTTTAATGAACATACCTGATCATCTAACTCTTACTCAAATAACACTAGTCTTGTATTATCTTTTAAAACCCATCCTGAATGCCTACACTGCACAGGTACTGTGCTGAGCACTGGTGAATCAATATGAATCACAAAGTTCTGCCCTTCATGAGTTTTCAATCTCTTGGCAGCAAAAATTTTAAGAAGGTGTGAAGAGTGCTGGGAAGCTGTGGACACCATGGGAACCAATGAGAGTCAGCTTACCTCTGTGGACAGGAAAGAACGAGGAGATGAAGTGGTCGGAAAAAGCTTCCTGGAGAGAATTGGACTTTAATGAAAGAAACACAACAGATTCTGCACTTCAAAGTGGGAACCAGAAAGAGCAAGACTGGAGGCAGAAAGACCAGTTAAGAAGCAATGGCCATGGGGAGGGGGGTGGAAGGGTGGAGGGAGGGTGATTGGTGTGGTCACCTCTATGGTTTATCTTACAAGGGTACAAGTGAATCTTTCTAAAAGCAGAGTATGAATGTCTTAACTCAATAACTAAGAAAATGACATGAAGGCTACGTCAACCAGTTTGATGAGAGTATTTCAAAATGTATATGAAAACACCACACTGTACCCCGTGACTGCATTAATGTACACAGCTATGATTTAATTTAAAAAAAAAAAGAAGAAGAAGAAGAAGCAGCAATGGCCATAAAGTAGAACAAAAGTGATGAGTGCCTGAACTAAGAAATGTTCTCTGGAACACAAAACATGGAAAAGATTCCAGAGATACTTAGGAAATAGAATTTAAAGAATTTGGAGATAACTTTTTGTAAGAATAAAGGGAGAATTAAAAATCAAGGATAAAAAACACGTTCTTGATTTTGTGAACTAGGGGGATGGAGGTCACATGGTCTAAATTAGAGAATATAAATGCAGTAGGTTTAAGGAGGAAAATGATGATGAATTCTTTGCAACTTTATGAAAGTCACAGGCATCCCTAGGATGTCTGCAGATTACGTTAGGGAGTAAAATATTGTTATCTGAAGTTCAAGATAAAGACCCAGGATTGACTAAGTATTGTGGATTCAGCACTTATCCATAGTGGTTCAAACTCCTGGGACTACGAGAATTCATGGGGTCACTCAGGGAAATAGGCAGTGAAAGAAGAGGACAGAAGAATCATGAATGCCCTGTAGAATAAAGGGCCAGATGAGGGCAAAGATGCCTAAGAATTTTATACTCTTATACGCTTTGCTTCTGTGATGCTAATACCAGGATTCAAACCCTAGGTGGTAACCAGAAGAACTAGAGGCAAAAACTTGGGCAGAAAGGCTTTTCTGTTTGTTTCCTCCTAAACAGTCTTGCTAGGGGACAGATCCCCACCAGACACTCCTTCTCCCTATCCACTGGCATCAAGAAAACAAGCAAATGGCCCAGATTCAACCCAATCAGAAGCAGGCCCCCTAAGCTTTGAATCTTGAAGGCAGATGCAAAGATGCAAAGAAAGGATTAATGGCGACAGCAGTTACGGTGAGAATTCAGCATTGGCAGCAGTGATGGCAGCAACAGTGACCATCGATCAGAGGCAACTGTATGGTGGTTGTGGTGCTGGAATAGCCCCTAACCAGCCTGTTCCATACGTTTCTGGCTTACTTGACGTCTGCCTGGTTAACAGACCTGGCTCTCCAGACTAGAGTCTGTAAGCTACTCCAGTCTCCCAGTAAATTCGTTTTCTGTTGTTTTAGCCAAAGTCCATCTCTGTTATTTGCAACATAGAGTGCTGGTAATGTTTATCGTCACTCATTTATAATAAAGAATAAGTGCAAAAAGCCCAAATGTTGAAAAACAGAGGAAAAGTGGGTAGATTGTAGTATGTCCGTATGAGATATGATATAGTAATAAACATTTTCAAATATATGTGAAATACATATAATTAATACATGTAATTAATAAATACATAATTATTTTTGAAATATATTACTTCATTACTCACTAATAAACTCTGGTAATTTTTCCTGAACAAAAGTGGTATAAATACTATATGGTCTAAATGAAGAGTAATAGAGAATCACAAAAAAGTAAGAAATCAATGAATAGTGATTAACAAATCTTAAATCCTTATCTAAATGGGATTTTTTAAATTGTACATACAATTAGGTTCCACTGTTTGCATGTGTTCTGTAGAGTCTGAGTTGTAGTTGAGTCCTTTACCCAAGTAGGATCCCATATACCCCTACATGGTACACGCTAGGTGGGAATGGAATTGGTTTTAAACAACACTAGAGACATTTAAATTGTTCATGCACTACGCAATTGTAGAAAGCAATTATATGTAATAAGTGTAGAGGGTATGTCTTTTTTTTTCTGTCTAGCACCTTCTAGACACTCTTGCTATATGTGAGGAATTTCCAAGTTTTAGCAATCTTACCTTACGAAGACAAAAAACAAAAAATGCTCTTAACCAGCCTCCTTTACTGCTAGGGTTGAGGCTGGTAACCAAGGGTCCACCCACCAGACTCACTCATTCAACACCATTAGAGCGAGTAATCTGAGTTCTGGTGCAAAACTCATTTTGCTGCCAAGGGTCGCGGTATAGAGACATCAGGTCTAGGGAGTGCTGTCAGTTGCAAGTATGAGTTCCCAACATAGAAGGACATGTTTTTAAATTCTAAATAAATATCCAAGAAATAGTCAAGAAAATACTATGTCCATAAAATTAAGCATGCCAGTATAAAGAAATAGAGAACAAGAGTCCTGGGGAATTAAAACATAATTATCATTGAGGTTGTGTGGCCATTTCCCAAAGAAGAGGTACCAGGGCACTCCATAAAGGGAAGGGCACACTGATGGAAACAGATTACCTACCCGCCCAGGTAGAACTGACCCGCCCAGGAAGAAGTCCACACACGAGCTATGGTGGGTGGGAATTTAAAGGGTTAAGAAGGTCAGGATTGGTCCATCCACCACTTCCTGGGAGGGACATACCCTCGATTCTTCTTTGTTCCAGACCCAAACAGTAAAAGATTATTCCAAGGAGCTAGACAAAAGAAAGGCGAAGTCCTGGTTTTGTGCAATCAAAGTGGATTTCTTCCCGGTCAGGAATTTCACCCCACCTACACTCAGGTAGAATAAAACCACTTTGACTGCACAAAACTGGGCCTTCACCTTCCTTTCATCTCAGAATAATCTTTTACCATTGGGTGCGGAATCTTTCACACACTGGAAAACACAGAGGTTTGAAAGAGCACAGAGAATCCCAGGAAGTACAGGAAGTTTGGTCTGGATTGAGAATGTGGTAATAGGCCCCTTCCTCAAAGAGGGGGCCTCCTTCCTGCTGGCACTTACCTCCCTCCTCTGCCCTGTTCAAACATGTGTCACCAGCTATGTGGCCTTATAGAATTTCTATATATTATGTTTTTCACCCACACTGGATAATAAGAAAACGTGCGAAAAGACCTCTCAGCAAATATTAATGTCAAAAAATCTCAGATGAGGGCTGCATGTCTAAACAGCAGAATAGACGTGATTGAAACTCAACTTGGAAAACTGTCAAATTAGCTCATATGACCACAATGCCAATAAAAATGAACGTTATGGTGCCGAGTGTTGGGTCAGCCTCCCCCATCGGCCACAGGTATCACTGCACGTGCACTGCTTTTGTAGCTACAGCAAAAGCGTCCACTCAATCTAGGTGTCCCTAGACGTGGAAACAAAGACAAGGATTCTTTTTCAAGTGATTCATTGGGAGAATGTCTTTGGGATTGGGGTATAAGGGAAACAGGCTAAGCCAAGGGCCCAGAGCCAAGCAAGGATGTGGTCTCGAGGACAATCCGTGTGGAAGTCTGGAGGACGCACTGCATCACAAAGCTAATCCCATCTTAATGCGAGGGGACTGGGGTAGGGAGGCGTGATATACTGGGTTGTTCAGCTCCCATTTGGCTCAGGCAGTTCTCTAAGGAAGGAGACAGCTGTGCACGCTTAGCACAGGGCTGGGGGATAGATGCACTAAGAGGCGCCAGAGAAAGAGAATATGGGCAGGGGGCCAGCAGCATTCGCTCCATCATGTCTCTATTAAACATAGAGAACAGGGCTGAGTGCTTCAAACAACACAGGAGAGCGTGTTTCTTTGTGAAAGTAAAGAATATTCCCGCAAGTTTAGTGTGCAAATAAGTTTAAATGCTAGGCCACAGCATTCTTTAACTTAGGTAACCTTTCCAGGCCCTATAAATACCAACGATTGTACCAACCTCACCCTTATTACATGCTATTCCCCCATTTCTGCTCAGTGGTGCTGCCCCCAACTCTCCAGTGAACTGAATGTTCAAGGTTAACTTGGCAATAGCTGGATGGTATTTTGTAGGATTACTGAAGACTACGCTGAAATACCAGGAAGCCAGTTTAGGAATTTTAAGAAAAGGATACAGAAAAACATACTCGTAGGTCATCACTGGCTGAGGCTGTTATTGTGATGACCAATGCATAGTTTATAATGACATAATCCTTCGAAAGTCGATAATGAATGGACCAAGAATAAATTAGAAAACTTCAATTGTTGGATGCAGTGGCTCATGCCTGTGATCCCAGCACTCTGGGAGGCCAAGGCGGGTGGACTGCCCGGAGCTCACAGGTCTGAGGCCAGCCTGAGCAAGAGCGAGACCCCATCTCTAAAAATAGCCAGGCATTGCGGTGGCCACCTGTCGTCCCAGCTGCTTGGGAGGCTGAGGCAAGAAAATTGCTTAAGCCCAAGAGCTAGAGGTTGCTGTGAGCTATGATGTCACAGCACTTTCCCAAGGGTGACAGAGTGAGACTCTATCTAAAAAAAAAAAAAGGAAAAGAAAAAAGAAACTTCAATAGAAATAAATGTGTAAAATAGGATTTTTTTAAATTTAGAGAATATTGTCTCATAATCTGAAAATTTATTGTAATTTTGTGCTAATGAATCAATACCATGATTTAAAAGATCAAAACTGAGACACGGAGAGGCCCTGACCATCTGAGCTTACGTACCTCAGCACTGGACAGCCCCGACGCTCTCTCATCCAAGTCCTTCAGAAGCTCAGCCAGCCTTTCCTTCTCACTGTCCATCATAACCACAGGGTTTCTTGAGTTCTTGGCCAACTATAAGAATTTATTAGTGGAAAACATTATATACTCAAAGGAATTCACAGCTCAGGAAAAATGGGACCAGAGCCTTCCACAATACAAATACACGAAGGTAAATTTTGTGATATTAGGCATTTTACATTCACTAGATAAGTTTATTTTATGCCAAATTTTTTGTGGAGGGCTATTCTCTAAGCAAAGAGATTCCCAATATAAGCAGGTCTCTTCTTAACCATTCCAACAAACATTGCATAAAAGCTAATAATAAAACAAGCATTTTCAAACCTCTCTTCATACTGTTTTACATATATAATATATATATTGAAAACATATTTGCTGAGACATTTGGAAGTAAACTTCTGGTCACTTTCTCTGTGTTATTTATTCACTATATGAAACTGCCTTTAAATATCAAGACCATCCTATGAGGAGTTTAAAGAAAAGTTTGGTTACTATTTCTAAAAGGGGAAAAGGGAAGCCTCTGGTGTAACCGATGTCTGTGTCAGAGATATGGGGGACACTCTTCTGCTCTTGGAAAATTAATAAATCAGCATACGATGGGCCAATGGAGAAAAAGAGACAGATCAAGTTAGAAAAGGTTTCCTGAAGATGATCACACAAATATGAAGCACAGAAAAATCAAGAATCCCAGAGGCCAGTCCTGGCAGTGGCAGGCTGAGCCACGAATCCAGTCTGCCTAGAAATAATATGTCAGTTGTGAGGTCAGGATCACACTTGACCTGTGAGGAATTACTTAACTCTCTCCTCTTATCAATACTTCACACTCACTAGTGTGGTTTTCTGTGACTAGCTGCTCAAGTCCACCTCAATACACTTCTTGTTGTAAGTTAATCCATTGCATTCTGGTCTAATACAGGAGCCCCTGTGCCCTTGGTTAGTCTGAGTCTGTTTTGAAGACAAACCAAGTCAGGTTGCAGGAAGACCAAGGATGAGCACCTGAACTAATCAAAACCAGTGATGGGCTGTGGAGGCTCAGCAAAGGGCGGGTGACCAGTTGGCTTCTCCAGCCTGGCCCTCCTGCTCTGCCAGGAGCATTTTCCATTCAAAGTTCTAAATGCACTAGCTATAAAATCAGTCTCATTATATAAAAAATAATAATAATAATTTTACTAATATGCAATTAGAAATCTGGGAAACATTATCCAAAGCTATTACCTAAATAAATATTTTTCAAATTACAGGAACCAGACTATTTCTGGATAGTGAAATAAATGCTAATTACAGCTAGCATTTCTTAAAGGGGCTAGGATAAGATAGGATGTAATGGAATAGGAAATATAAAATAGTAAAGTATTGGTTTATGAAACTTTCCTGTCAGTCATATATGCTGATTCAATTGTATACGCACGTATCATGGTCCCAAAAACATTTAAGGAAACTGAATATGTTAACTACCACTTTTGCCATGCATTTAGTCCAAAATTGTGGCTTCTGAATTTCTAAGTACATACCTCGATGTTTCGCTTAATAAAATCCTGGTTGTGTTTACCCCTGGGCTCAATCTTTTCTGAATTTGAGGAAGATTTCCTTCCTGCTTTGATCAATGACTCATTTCTTTCCACATCATAGGTAAAATCTAATATCAAAAAATTTCAAAATTGTTTCATAATTATAATTATCAATTACTCTAAAACTTCATTTTAAGCATATAAAGAAAATATATAAGCAATAAAACATACATAGAAGAACTAACTTCTAAATTCCAGATCCAGAAACCCAATACATAAACCCAATTTATTCTTAAAAAGATAAATGTGCAACCATTAACTCCCAATGAAGTTCTCATAAAACTACTTGTATTATTCATTATCATATATCAAATTTTCTTAGCTGAAACCAAGTTCTCATTACTCGCACCTTTATAAAAATGACTTATTATACAGAATTTCAATCATCAAAAAATGGAGAGAATGGTATAACAAACTCTCAACAACTACATTCAACAACAATCAATTCATGACCAATCTGCCCTCTTGAAGCCTGTCTACTTCCATTCACCTCTGAAAAAAATAAAATCAATTCATTTCATTCATGAGTATTTCTTTATACAGCTAATCTTCTCTTAGGACAATATGTACAATCACACAATTAAAACATACCTTGATTGATGCTGTGCATCTGCTTCTCATATTCTTCCGGAGGGACTTGCGTGTCAAACATTGAGAAAAAAGTGTCTTCCTGCTCAGGAGAAGTAGGATCTATTGATTCAAAAAGTCACTCGTTCAATACTCACACAAAAAATAAGGAATTCTCTACAAAGCTGTTTAAAAAAGAGAGAAGATTTAATACGCTTTCCAATGTTCCTCAATCCCTTCCACACACAGATTTCTTAAAACAATGTCGTTGTCACTTCCAAGTAGAAATAACAATCATCTTTGGATAAGTGAGTCACTGAAACAAACTACAGACAGTTAACAGCACTTCTCGAGAATTTAAGCATAAGTAGTAGGTACAGGTTATACTAAAATATACATTAACTCTCCAGAGATAATCGATCCAAATTCCAATGTTCATAATACAGAGGATATACACACACTGCGTAACTATGAATGTGGTTTTCTTTTTTCTCTTAGATCCCCAAGGGAGAGATTTCAAATACATGGTCAGTCATTAAGAGGAAAGAATGTGTTTGAAAGATATAACTTGGGAGGCTCTTAGCAGGTTATCTATCTCTCATCATAAAGAAAATAGCACATTCTGTTTTTCCACTTTTCTCTTTTTTTAAATTTTTTAACTTTTATTTCAATGTAATTTATTTTTATGTTCTCCTAGCTCATACAGACACTACATAGCTGCAAGAAAGGACTAACATATACATTTTTTTTTAAGTTGGTCTCTACACCTTAACATGAGGGAATCTGCCAGGCTGCGGCACAGAGAAAAGGTTTCTCTTCAGAAAACGTGACAAGTGTTGAAGATGCAACAGGATCTACTGCCTCTCCCTGAAAACAGACTTGGTTCAAACACCCTTTCCAAGGTGGCCCAAGCAAAGGAATCAAGCAGCAGATAGATTTACCCCTGCACCCAGTCACCAAATTCAAAACATAAACCATCTGACATTACAAACTAATTCATTCTGTAATTATGAATTATGAATTGGGGTTTATGTTACAATGTTAGCCTTTGTATATTTTGGGGATGAGTTAACCAAACAAATCTGTGATATGGAGAGGCTGGAAGGGATAAGCTACACATATGACAAAAGGTTTAAAATACTTTTTTGAACATTTTTGCTCCAAATGCTATCAGCAGGGGGTTTTAATAAAATTCAATAAAACAGACTCAGCAAGTCAGCAAGTTGGCAACATTTATCAGTTTGACTTATATATCCTATTCTTGACATGGTAATATATTTATTTTCAATTGTGTAATTCCTTATAATAACAGTTTCACTTAATTTTATACTAAAACACCTATACAGACACAAATATATGAAAACTTACAATACTGACAGCTCTTACAGCAAGATGATATTTGAGCATTTCAAACCTAGGGAGCTCCCTGTGTTTAGATTGATCTCATGTTTAAATTCCCCCAGTGACCCCGTGGCTCATCACCCCAGTGGTGTTCACTGCCTCAGAGAGAAGTGGGTACAACCCAGAACAGGTGCCATAGCTCAGTCTTGAGTTGAAAAGACAACAGTTTTGAAAGTTAGGCATTCAATTACAAGAGCTTATTTAACCTATGAAGAAAAAAATCAACCTTCTGAATTCCAAAAGTCTCTTTAGAAATTCTTCCTTATTGTTTAAAAAAAAAAAAACTAATTCATGTAGAAGAAATGATGAAATTGGAAAATAACCACTCAGTAACCATTGCAGTGAAAACTGATTCAGGTAAGAATCATGGATGAATGAGAAGACAAGTGGAGATTAGCAGGATAACAGCCTCGGAGCATCTCCCCATGAGATAACTTACTTCCAAAAGGGAAGACAGTAAGTTTATCATGGAGCCTTTTTTCCTTCTCACAGACATGTGGAGGAAGCTGGCAGACATCACTTGAACAAGTGGCCAGAGTTGACATCCCAGTAGAGGGAGAATCAATATCAGGCACTTCCAGTCACGAGGTGCTGAGAAGCCCACAGCGTCACTTCTGTGGGATTGAGCAGAAACAAACAAACCCAAATTGGAGGAAATTCTACAAAATGATAGACTCCAAAAATGCCAAGGCACAAAATACAGAGAAAGACTAAAGGCGTAAGACAACTAAATGCAATACGTAACCTGGGGTTTTTTCCTGTTATAGAGGATTTTAGTGGGGCAATTGGCAAAATCTCAATAAAGCCTGTAGATTAGATAAGAGTAATCTACAGCAGTATCGTATCACTTCCTGACATCAGGGAATGTTAGTGTTAATTTCCTGATTATGTGTACGCGTGTATGTGTGTGTGTGTGTGTGTATGCGTGTGTGTGGGTGAGCGTGTGTGTGTGTGTGTGTGTGTGTGTGTGTGTGTGTATCCTTGTGGGGAGAGGAGAGGGAAATTGAGAAGAGGAGAATGTGGTAAAATATCAATATTTAGAGAATCTAGATACAGAGTATTTGAGAATTCTTTGAGCTGTTCTTATAACTTTAAACGTCAAATTATATCAAAATAAACAGTTTAATAGGAAAAATTTTTAACTCCTCTCCTCATTACAAACATTTATGTGAGAAGGAAAAAAGCAACTCCCTTTAGAGATCAAGAGCCAAAGCTTTGAGGATTGAGCAGGGTTTTAATAAGTGCCCTGAGAGGGAAGACTGCAGGACGTGATTTCAGTTGTTTCCTGCCACCTAGGGAGACACTGAAGCCCATCCCAGGTAAGGGAGGAGGACCTACAAGAGGATCGGAGGCGATGAGTTTAGCGTAGACACAAGTGACACAGGGTGAGGCTGTTCCCTTAAACGCACCCCCTGGAGGTGGAATCCTAAAGTTGGAATCCTGAAGAAGATGGGGAGCCCAGAGCAGAGTGGGACTGCCCCACTGCACACCCAGAATTCAAGGGGAGACTCCACACAGGCACACAGTGCTCCCCATCCACCCATGACAGTGTCTCACAGCAGTAATGGCAGACACAGGGCATGGGTTGTCCGCATGTATGCATGTTCCCACATCATCCCCTGTGGCTGGTGTGTGGCATGCAGGAGACCAGAAGTTCTCCCAGCCCCCGTAGAGAAGCCTGGAGTTGTGATAAAAGGGTAACATACAGTGCAAGGCTCACACCAGAGAGGATGTGGCAGGGACCATGTAAATCATCAGCCTCTAATGCCAGATGGCAAACGGCTAAATGGGACCAGCTACAAGTCAACAGACACCCAGGCTAGCTTACAATAGCCACAGACCAAGCAGGTGGAGACAGCTCTGAGAGAACAGGGAGGATCAGAGGCCACCTCCTCCCATGCCAGGATGCTACACAAGCCTCCTGCTGAGTACAGACACCACCCCAAGAGAAGGGAGGAAGAGAGGGAAAGGCAAGAGGTGAGGAAATCCTGAATAAGGATTTACCTGAATGAAACCGAGCTCACCTACAGGATATTTAGTTTTAAACCAGAAGCGATTTAACTTTTCTCTCTACAAAGTAGAAATGAAAGTTCATCAATAAGTTGAGTTTAGATATGGAAATATAGCCTCATTTTGGAACATCTGAGTTATATCATTTTTTAATGCACTTTAGAAGTATAGTAAGTTCTCAGAAATTGTGACATTATGCAAAACAACAAATAACAAAACCAACTTTACCATGAGCTAACGGATACAAGCAAGAGTTAAGTCCCTACAATATATTTCTGTAAGTCACTAAACTTCCAAACAAAAATTCAAAACACTTCTAATATTAAATACTGAAATAAATGTGAGCTATACATACATTTAAGAACGATGAAGAAAAACAAGTAAGATAATTATCCAACTTTTGGTGAATCAGTGGGTGACAGAGGTCCTCGTGGTGGTGGGTTAATCAAAAGAATAAAGGTTATCAAAGGGAAAACTGTGCACACACAGTTCCAAAACAAATAGTAACAAATGTGTCCCACTCTCTGAGCCCTTTTGCACTAAATTGTTTATTGTCATACATTTGTGTGATTATCAGATTCTTTATGAGTTTTTATTTTATGATCACTTGTGTTCATTCCTTCATTTTTCAACCCACTTATTCCAGTTCAAGGTCACAAGGGCATCTGGCTAGAGGCTATCCTAGCAGCCCAGGGCACAAGGCAAGCACCCACTCTGGATAGGATGCCGTCCCCTGGCAAGGTGCACTCTCACCCCCACACCTCACATAGACAGGGACCAGTTAGACAACGCCAGTTCACCAGCAGGCCCATCCTTGGGATGTGGAGGACCACCTCCCAGAGAACACCCATGCAGACCTGGGAGGATATGCAAACTCCACCCAGACAATTCCTGGCCAGGAATCTACTTTTTTCCTTATCAATGTTATAACAAAATGACACTTAATGAAACAACTTTATTTTAAGACCTGCTATATCCATCACCAGTCTCCAGAAGCAATCGCTACTAACACAAATGAGAGAAAGGGATAAAGGAAGGTGATCAGTGTCTAGGTCAGCTTCGCATATTAAAACAGGGCACGCCTGGGTCTTGAGGGAAGGCAGTCCCCTGACTCACAGAGAAAAGGAAGAATCAACCAGAAACCAAGTCCCATCTCCTTGACCCTCGGCACGGTTTCCTGAGGCAGTTCAAATGCTGTTACTGGGCTCTTCTCACACCTCTTTCTATGTTCATTCAGAGGCTGTCACTCCTAGGAAGCAGAAATCTGCGATGGAAATGGAGCTCTGCAAGCAAATCCTCACAGCAGAGACAGAGGCCAGACGGGGAGAGCCCCGCAAGCCAGGGGTTATACTTGCCCCCAACACTCCATCAGTTGTGGGTATCAAACTCCCAACAAAGACAGCAGAGCCCCCATAGTTAACTTCAGCTGCCCACTTTAAATTGGAATGTCAGCCCAGCACAGCAACCCACCCTGCAGGCACAGATTCGAAATGAGAATTTTATCAGAATCTGGGTGGACAGCACGCAGACCCAAGTCGAACGCGCTCTTTCACTCGGCTGGCAAATGGCAGGTGGGGCTGGATTTCGCCTCATTGGAGGGAAAAATGGAGAACAAATCAATCAGCATCCTGGCAAAGAGTGGGAGAGCAGTTTATTATAAAAAAAAATCATAAAATGTCTAAAAACTTTTTGGCATCATCACTATATCAAAA